AGAGAGAGAGAGAGACTGATTTAAATGGAATCATTTAAATGGAAAAGAGATTCGAGGTAGAGGTAGAGGTCGTATCATCGTATATCATCTAAGAGTGTTACATCAACAGATGTCAATATCTATATCGCGACAAAATTGCAAAATGAAGAAATGAGTGAACGACCGTCGGTCGTCGATCGTTGATCGTCGATTAGACAGCTCGTAACTCAACTAATATGACTCGTGCCTGACGGTCAAAGAAGGCGCGAAGCACCTACTTACGGCTCTAACCTGCTTCTTGAGTAGAAAGCAGATGCAGGTCCACACACGGGAGGCCATTAAGAGAAAAGCTCTCATCCCCATCTGCAATTGCTTCAGCATCTCTACTGTTCTTCTCACCGGGCCGAAGTCCGGCAACACTTTATCTCCAGTGTCGAATCCGTTTGCTGTTTGTGTCCGTGTATGCGTGTATATGCGTGCGTACTCCTTCTTTTTTCCCTCCGCTGCGTGTTCTCCACTTGACTTGTGAATCGCGAGAGCGATACCTACCCGCGCCGTGACGAGAATCGACGAGAAACCGAAAACCTCAAAAGAGACGGCTTCTCCGCTGCCGCTTATTGTAAACAAATGTCAACACGGTCGCGCCTGAGTCAGGAAATCGATGTGAATCCGCGAGTGCGGCGTTTTTATGTCGGTGTCCGCACGACGAGTCGCGTTTCGCACGTGTCGATGTATCTTACCGTGGTTCTTTCATATTTTTGACAAAACCAAAGTACGAGCCTTCTTACACGCACCACGCAACGTCCGCCATCTTTCGCGCATCGACCCAATTTTTCCGTGCGCATTGCGCTGCTCTCGCGCCGCTAGCCGCTAGCCCCTAGCCGCTAGCCGCTAGCCGCTTATCTCGCCTTTTCGACCTCGGAACTATCGAGGCGATCGAGACGATCGAGATGATCGAGACACTCGAGAGGCTCGAGAGGCTCGAGAGACTTTCTCCGCTCTTTCGCCAAAATATTCGAAAAATCATTCAAAAACTCCTCTCGACATTCGTCGATGTCAAGATGACAACTATCGAAAATTATCGCTCCGTTACAAACGCACGCAATATAAAACACAACATATTCTCATCATGCACGCGCGCGCGCGCGCTTGTGTGTGTGTGTGTGTGGTGGGGGGGGGGAGGGGGGCGTACACAGTATGCATGTGCGTACGCATGTATATAAAAAAAAGCTAAAATTCTCTAAATATAACTTTTATCAAATTATGAGAAATTATAAAAGTTCAGTGATTCAATAATTAAATATCGTTTCAAATAGACGAGATATAAATATCTTAGCATATTTTTTACGAATTATTCATATGTACGAAAGCGTGCAAATTGCAGATTTAAAAGGACGTCTCTATCAAAGATGAACAATCCATTGCTGAAATTAGAAATTTGTGGATTCATATCGAGTTCTTGAAAGTTGGCATAATTGAAAGCAATCAAGTTTTGCGAACTTTGTATAATTGTAAATAAAAAATTTGTCAAAATTTGTGAGCCAAATTTGAATCAAACACACAAAAATTAATTTAAGTATTTCATATGCTTTTAAAAATTTCCATTTGCAACAATATGAAACACACATACATATTTGCTAGAAATAAATTTATTAATTACATTTAAATTAATATATTCGCTCACTAAATACAATGTACGATCAATTATGTATAATAATATAATAATTATCGAGTAATATACAACAAAATGTACAAATTTTCTATATATACTAATAAAGTACAATTCTTTATACAATTTCTTAAATTCGATCAATTATTTTGCTAATACATAGTTTCTTTTACATATGTCTTATATTTTACAATATAACATACACAGGAAAGTTACAAATTTAAAAGGAAAGACGAACTAATTGTATTTCACATATAATAAGACTTTTAATATGATAGTATATATTATATACGTACATACATAATGTTCGTATATGTCATAAATCTATTGCAACATGTTTTATCAAAATTTCGATTACTCATACGCGCGTGCATGTATTGTTTAACCACATCGGTTTTTAGAAAATGTATTTTTTTTTTTTTATGAGATATACCATATTTCATAAGAAATCTATGATATATATGCGTGCGTAATTCTACAAAATATTTTTCGTGGACAAGAAAAAAAGAAACACAAAATACCAAATTCACCAAATTCATCTACATAGTTACATAAAATATCTATGTACTAGCATAAATAATTAATCAATGTTGATCTCTGTAGAAAATACTGATACGAAGTACGATACTGAATTACTACACATTTGGATACAATTCGACAAATATCCCACGTGAGAAAACATAATTTATAAATGTGAAATAGCCCATAAAGACGAGCCTATATTTTTTTCATTTTCATCATCGATCATACGATACATGTATTGACATTTTGATAATAACGCAACATTATTGTCCATGTAGTTATCGAAAAACAGGCTTTGAAAGAAATATTTCGAGAGTATGTCGGCAGGCATGTTAATGTATCGCGCTAAAATATTAATTAGAAGGAAATGTTTTTTATATATACAAAAAAAATCTCTATGTAATATTTAACAGATTAATTTACGTGAATTACGTGTATTTTCAATATTGTTATAAAAATTTTTTTCCATAAATCCACTATTAATTAGAGATTGCTCTATTGCGATACAGAGTCTACATCTCTTTAAGAATACAACATTAAAAAATTTATGCCCTACTATTATCTCTGTTTTGCAGTACCTGCGTTTTATAATCTATTATTATATGTGTATTATAATAAGGCGTTTTCGATGTTTGGCTTTCTTTGCATAAGCAAAGAAAAATATTTTCCCGAGTTTATCGTATATGACGGATCATCTTTTACGACTAGCTGAATGATCTCAAAGGCACCTGCTCCTCTGTCGTTAATTTTTTATTTGACATGCGATAATATGTACAAATATAATAATGTAAAATTACAGAGGAATTAACAAATTCGAAACATAATGTAATTGTACTTGTTTCCGTATGAAATTATTTTTATTCGAGAGTAATGTAAGAGAGCTATATGTATGATTATAAAACACAAATTTTATACACACACACACACACGCGCGCGCGCGCGCGCGCGTATGTGTGTGTGTATGTGTGTGTGACACTTAAAATGTAACTTTTCGTATCAAATTCGTTTTAATTTTTTTTACTGTTTCTCTTTTCTCCCTTGTTTCTTTTCGACAAAAATTAATAGAGTTGCAGGTTCCTGTTAGATCTTATCAAAATATTATTAATTTATAAGCTTATTACGCGTATTAATTACTACATAAATTTTGTAAAGATTGCATATACAACCTCTCAAATTAAATTAATTATTACAACTTGACTAACGCTATATTTGCAAATGTACAAGCATGGATAATTCAAAATGATGTCTTATGCGGAAAATGTACTCACTCAGTTTTTATCTCTTTGTACATATTTGTTTAAATAAATACACACGGATAATTATCACATGGATACAAATTATCGGATCCTTGATTCTATGCCTCTTTTAATATAATTGGAAATCACGACTTATCTTTCATATTTCCAAAATGATACAGGACAATATTATATTCTATACAAAATATCTCAAATATTATCTTTCTAAACTGAGATAAAGCTCCAACGGTGTCTCAAAGCTGCCTGAAAATAAAACATGTTCTGTTCTCTCCGCTAGAGAGAATTTCCTACATAAACTGTTTTCACATAATATCGCCAGATATATCGCCAGATATATCGCCAGATGTAGCACTAAGAGATTAAAAGCGTCTATTTTGTATTACAATTACTACAAGGACAATTCTTGAGGTTAATTTCTACAGCAAGATACGACATAAATCAATGTTTATCCGCTCACATAATATGTTATTTTGGTATCAATTAATCCAGATATTTATTTATTTACCGTAAAGGTTTTGCCTTCTAACGTTGCAAAATCGTATATATCATCTTCTTTTGCAGAAAGGATATAGAGGCAGTATTATCCATTAATTAAATGGAAATGTAGCCAGGCCTCTCTAGCGTAAGATCCTTTTCACACCCACATGATGTGTCGATCGAACATTATGTTAAAACGACGTGTTATTTTCTCCCTTCCTCCTCATTTCTTCATACAGCAGAATATTATTAATATAATTTTCATTTAACTAGTTCCATTTTATATTGTGTCGATTCTATATTCTGTACTCGATCTATAATGTCACGTTAAAGCCATTTATTTATGTATACAGTCGCAGCATTGCTGCAACAATATTTCGTGTCACGTTTCACGACACCATGCCTGGCTATTAGCATGGTCCGTAACGCTTTCGGCGTTTTTTTTTCTTTTTCGATGGATTTTTGCCCCATCGTGTAACTAGATTATATTCGACGATACGATATATGAGAATCGTGAATAAACAGTCTTGTGATCAGCCGAGTTTCTCTCGAAACTTGGCTTGTGGCAGCACTTAACTCTTTGAATGTACATTTGTCTTTTGTGCCTTCTTTTTTCGTGCCGCCAGCATGTCATAAAAAGGATTGTGCGATATACTTTGTCTGGAAACGCAAACAGTAAATAATTTCATCAATAATTTTACTTTGCACGTGTTGGAAAAGAAGACTGTAGCGATAGAATACAAGTACGCAAAATTGCAGTTCTTTTATTACTTGAACTTACCGCACGCATTTGATCCATTCATCTTTCTCTTCGTCAGTAGCTGCGGACATCCGGTATACCGTATGCTTTCCTACAAATAATCAGAAATAAATGTAAATGTTTTATTGCAATTTATGTTGTTACGTTGTTTTTATTACATATTATCTATTATAAAAGTACGTATAGTAAGTAACGTATATCTTTAATGTGTTAGATCTTTTTATTAGAATAGAAATTAAACTTTAAGGAATTATACCTTCGACGACTTTTCCCTCGCTATCAGTCTTGCATGCTTTTATAAACTCAGAACCAGCAGCATACAATTCGAAACAGTGCGGTTTATGTCGGTCCTGAATCTCTCTAACTTGAATATTCTCTAGCGGAATGATGCCGCGTGGTTCCTTATCCGTTGTGTACTCGAAGTAATATAAACAATTATCGTTCAATATGAACCATCGCCTCTTCCAGCTCTTGTAACGTCCACCTGTAACAAAGTGCGGGATATATAGAATTAAGAATCTATGGTTTTCAGAGCGATGTTATTTACCTGCTGTCTCCGTCAGGGCAGCAGAGGGACAAAGTGATATAATATAAGAATAAGCGTTCTTTTATCGAGATAAATGTGACAAAAATCAAGAAGTATTATACAAAAATATCGCGCTTTGTTTTCTTATTATATTTTCAAATCTTTCGAGAAACGCGGAATATATATCTGAACGAATATATACACAACATTCTAAATAATACACAACGATCGTTTAAAATCTTTGCAGGCCCTCAAAGAGAAATCGAAAACTGCCGGGATGCGGTCCATCGAGAAAACTCGTGTACATAAACGTAAGCAGCTATTACCTTGCTTCCACAGCCAGCCCTCTTTGTCGGGATTAAAGAAGGTATGCATTAAATCATTGCCATCGTCCTCCGGTATTTTGAAAGGCTCAGTTTTTATACTCTCGTATAGGCTCTGAAAATAAAATACACATATTTTTTGACACATATTTGACAAGTATTAAATTTGTACAAAGAAAGTCAAGGAAAAATTAGTCCTTGAAAAAAGATAGATACTTACCACGAGCAGTTCCCGTGGCAGATCTCCGCCATTATTGATCCCTCGATTCATTGAAATAAACTGATCTACGCTGGGCTTATCTTTAACGCTCGGATTATGCAAGGAAGTATTCAACATGATGATGGCAAAACTCAGGACGTAGCAAGTGTCCGTATTGGTGAAGATATTTGGGTTTAGCTGGCAGTACCTTTGAGCAAAGCACTCCATCATGCGATCGATTTTCTGTGCTTCGCCGGGCAATCGGAACGACCAGAGAAATTGACGTAGAGCTTGTACCAATATGAGATCGGTGAAGTCGTGCAGTTCGACGAAGGCTCGCAGCACACGTTCGTTGAAGTCGTGCCGCTCGCCAAGATAATCGCCGATCGCCGTTTTGTTGAGACCTTCGCCCTTATACAGAAATTGAGCGACATCCTCCGGCGTTGGCGCCAACAGATTGTGCTCTATCAGGTACTCGATTGCCCTTCTTAGGATCCATATTGAACTTTTTGCGGCCGATCGACGTCTGCTTAGCCTTGTTGGACGGTTTAGTCTCGTCGGCTGTAAGCCCGCCGCCCTCCATTGCCTCCATCTCTGCCACAACCTCGCCCAATTCATCTTTCAATTGCTAGAAACAAAGAGTATCATTCAGGACAAATTCATTCTGAGTCGGAGA